TATCTAAAATAAATAATAAAAATTCTTTGACTTGAGATTATCTTTGTAATCAACAAGTCATTTGTTATATTCTAATTCTGCACACATGTTGCTTTAGAGCACCAACTGAGTAAATATTGAATATAATTAAATACTAGAATTAATAATAATTCAACAAGGAATCTATCAACTTTAAGCAATGAGTTTGAACTCTATTAAAATTAATATTTGACCAAAGTAACTAAATAAAAGAAGAAATAAATTTTATTAAGTCATTTATAATAAGTTAACCTGTTACACTAATGACAAATCATACCTTAAAAATAGAAGGAAATAATATATTATTTTTGTACGAGTAAATTAAAGATTATTAATTTATCACCACTAGTATTGAACCCACAGGTCACATACTAACGAGTGTTCTAATCTGTATACAGAAAGAATTTATTATTTGATAATTAAGATTGTAGAATTTATTTTATCAAATAAATAATATTTTTATAGTGAAATATTATTATATTCTTTGCTAACATGAAGAATATTAATAATAAGACATCAATACATTATTGTTTGATTACATATTAAAAGTTAATTGTTGAAAGTAAACTCTATCTGTTAGTTCAATCAATCAACTTAGATAACAAGATATTGATAAAACAATAAAACACAAAACTATCTGTTGTAAGACAGTTGAGTAAAAATCGTCACGAATTGAAAAAAAAAAACGTCACTAAGAATTGATAAAACCGTCACCAAAAGTTTGATAACATATTAAAATTTAATTGTTAAAAATATATCTATCTGCCAGTTGAATTGACTTAAATAATTAGTTATTGATAAATTGAGAAAACACAAAACTAATTGTTATAAAAAAGATAGTGGAGTAAAACAGTCGCAAAGTATTGGTAAACACCTTTCAAAGAATTGATAAAACCGTCGCCAAGAATTGGTAAAATTGTCACCAAAGATTTGGTAAGAGCGTTGCAAATATATTACACGAATGAAAAATACATTAAACAAAAGGTTTGATAACATATTAAAATTTAATTGTTGAAAATATATTTAAATTGACTTAAATAATTAGTTATTGATAAAATGAGAGAACACAAAACTAACTGTTATAAAAAATATAGTGGAGTAAAACAGCCGCAAAGTATTGTTAAAAACTTTCACAAATAATTGATAAAACTGTCGCTAAGAATTGATAAAATCATCACCAAGAATTTGACAAGAGCGTTGCAAATATATTATTATATATTTTAAGCAAATATATTATACAAATGAAAAATACAAAAACAAAAGGTTTGATAACATATTAAAATTTAATTGTTGAAAATATATCTATCTTTATGTTGAATTGACTTAAATAATTAGTTATTGATAAAATGAGAAAACACAAAACTAACTGTTATAAAAAGATAGTGGAGTAAATAGTCGCAAAGTATTGTTAAAAACTTTCACGAAGAATTGATAAAACCGTCGCCAAGAATTGATAAAACCGTCACCAAGAATTTGATAAGAGTGTTTGCAAATATATTATTATATATTTTAAGCAAATATGTTACACGAATGAAAAATACAAAAACAAAAGAATTCTCATTCCCTCATATTATGCTAGTGATTGTTTCATAGTAATTAGACTTGGTGTAGATACACATAGAATCTTCAATTGAAGAAAATTTTAAATTTTAATAAATCATCAACTGTTGCATAATTTAAATTTTTTTTTCATCTCATTTAATATATTTTGGTACAAAATAAATCTTATCTTTCTTCTGTGTTGGCAGTGTTCCACTGTAATTAAAAACAAAAAAAAAATGTAAGAAAAAGAAAATAAATTTAATAAAAAAATTGAATAAAACATTACCTCAATAAAATGTTGGACACTGAGAGTGAAAAAAGCATATGTAGTATGGACAAAAAAATCTCATTCATGTTTTGTTGGCTCTACACTAGGATAGAAGATAATTAAAAAAATATTACAGTTTGTAAATAAAAAAAGTTTGAGAATTGAAGATAGAGTAAGTTATACATAAATCTTTATAATTTATTGGAAAATTGTAAGCAATATAAATTACACATTAATATTGTATAAATTTGTATAAATAAGTAAAACTTAAGAAAATTTAACATATAAAATTAATTTCATTTAATGAAAAGAATAAATATATTTGAATTAATTAAAAAATATAATTACTTAATAAAATAATTAAAACTTTCTTTGATAAATTTATACTATATAAGACTCAAGGTAACACAAGAATCTTAACGATTTAAAACATATAAAGGTAAAAACGTTACACAATAATACTACAAATTATTACATTAATATAATTAAAATATTTAAGATGATAAATTTTAATAAAATAAAAAATAAAAAAAATTAATTTTAGAAGTAAAAAAATATTATTTTATTCATTTATTTTTATTCATAGTGTATAAATATAAGGTAACTTTAATACACATAAGTTTTGACAATTTATAACACATATAAATAGTGTTGCTACACAATGATGTTATTAACTGTTGTATTAGTAAATATTTTTAATTTAATATAATTAATTGATTAATAAAATATTTAATAAAGCATTTTTAGTTAATTAATAAAATAGTTACTCAATTAATCAAAATTATGACGTAATAAATTATTTAAAATAAAACTTAAAATAACGTAAATATACATAAGTCTTATCAATTTATAATATACGATAATAAAAAAGTTACACATCATATTATAAGTTAATGTAAATACTTTATTTATTTATTGCTATGTAATTTTGAAATAAAATATAATTTATTAATCATAAAATAAAAAAATGACACACAAATTTATATCAAATTATATTCATTTTATATATAAGCAAAACAATAGTCACAATAGCACTAATAAATAAATGAGATAGGCATATGATTAAACAATATGACAATAATAAAAATATCATAGAAATTATAATAAAATTTTTAACTTTTAATATTATTTTTATCTATCTTATTTAATTAATTTTTATTACTTTATTATTATTTACGCTAATAAAAATATTTAGATTTATGAATCTAAAAATCATAAAAATACTAAAGTAAAGAGAATAAAATTAAAATAAAATAAATAGACTTAGTATATTTATATAAAAGAAACATTGCGATGATAATAATAATAATAATAAAAAAAAAACCATTGTAAAAAATATACAACCATTCATAATGTTTTATTATTATATACTGTTATTAAAATAAAATTAAAACTTAGAAATAAAAAGAGAATGTTATGTATTACTTGTACCTTTGGAACTGAACCTGAGAGAATATGGGTTTCGGAATTTTAAAATATGTCAATATAGAAAAGATAGCCTCGACTATTATTTTGAATATCTACCTGTTGCCAATTATTTTCCAGTGGTGGGACCTTTTAAGATAAGAGAAGAAAACTTTAATAAATTCTTCTCCTTTTCTTCCTCAAAACGTTAATCTTCTTACAAAAGAAGGAATAATCTCAGATGTAATGTGTCTATGTTAAAGAGTGGTCATTGAATCAATTGCAATTCAAAACTAAAAAAAAAAACAGTTTTGATTCGCTTGGGTTTCCTCTTGTGTCTCTTTGATCATCACAAATGAGATTCTTGTAATGAATCTCTATGAAGAATTATACAGCGGAAGATGCTATTATAGATATGGAAAAAAATCTGGATAGAAAGTATTTTGATTGGATGGGAATAAATGTAGAAATACTAAATCGTTCCATATCGAGTACGAAATTTTTTTTCGTTTCAGAATTTTTGATATTTTCTAATGCATATAAATATCAAAATAACCCGCGGATCATACCAATCAAATCACTTTTTTTCCATTTTAATATAAATATAAATCAAAATGTTAGTGAAAATCAAAATAACATTACTGAAAAGAAAAGAATAATAAAATATGCCTGCTCACACGAATCAAATTAATAATCGTAAAAAGAAAAAAAAGAAAAAGTTGAGAAAAAAAGTTGACTTTATTATAAAATTTTTATAGTACAAATATAAAGATCTTTACATATTGATAAACAATAATACATTATAAATTTAACATTTAAATTAAATATTATAAAAATTAATTTTTATTAATATAATAATTCATAATTAAATGAACACACTAAAATTTAATTATACTGCATTTAGTTAAATCTGTTTATTTATTTATTAATTCTATATACTTGTGCTATGCATGATTGTAATGAAATTTTTTACAGTTCCTCATCAAATGCGGATGATAAACACGCTGTGTAAATTTTCATTAAAATAAATATTAGTTAAATTACTAACACAATTAACAATTTGTTCAGTAATTTCAACAAGTGACAATTATCAATATAGAATCTGATCAAAGTTGCTATTTATCAGAAATGTCAAATAGTGGGCTTATGTGTGTGATAGTCAAACCACTTTGATTATGTCCAAATTTGCGAAAGAGAGTTTATCAACTAATATAATGGCGAGATAAGATACGCTATTGTCAACAGTAGGTCTTAGTGAGCATGGTGATGATTTGGCTAGTTTGACCAAGGTCAATGATTTGATGTCAAATCAATTGACAATAAAAAATTAACACAAATTATGAAAATACAGTAAATAATCGAGTTTAAATTTAAATATATTTATTTTCATTATACTAATTCACTTAAAATAAATTATATTTAACTCTATTTTTTTTTTTACTTGCGAGATAGAGGAGAAAAATAAAGTATGAGAACATAATTTTCATTTTACAAGAAACTTACATAAAAAGACTTGAATAACCAAAGTTCACTGAAATGATAAAATATAAAATCACTTAATTAAAATATAAAGATTTAGTTTAAAATACAAATAAAAATAAAAATAAAAAATAAACTAACCTAAATTAAATTTGCTTCTAATCTTCATAAGCTTCCATTGGAACACAAAAATTCAGGCTAAGTTCTTCTTAAACACCTTCAATAAAAAATTCAACCTTATACGTGTCTTACTGTACATGTAACAATAAAATTGTCTTTCTTCTTCTTTCTACATTATTAAGTTAATGGTTGAAAACCTATTGCACATTGGTGCATAGAGGGTTCTCCTTTGTACTTCAAATTCCGGCCTCCTCTTTTGCAAGTTCACTTCCTTTGTGTTACAATTTTCCAAGTCTCCCCTGTTTAGTTCTTCAAAAACACTCACGTTCCGATATCTAATGTTGAGCACCACCTGAAGGATGCCCAAGTAAATCCCAATCGCATTTGGTCCCTGTTCAAGTCAGAGAAATACAATATTAATATTAAAAGTAAATATGAATAAAGACTTAGAGAAAATAAAAGACTTAATGTAAGAAATTATGATACAAACCGCTACGAATATGTCACGAATGACAAGTCCATAAATGAGCCAGAGTCCACTAGCCAAGAATGAGCACATGGACAACGTTAGCGGCATGAATTCCACACTCTTCGTTTCCATACCTTTCTTCTGTAGCAATCACAAGTACATTCAACTTTTTTTTTCAGACAAATTTTTTATAAACTATGATGTCACATCTTTTAAATCTTTAATTTTTTTTAATTTGCGCCTAAGTTTTTCCTTTTGAACTTTTAAGGTTATTAATTCACGTTCTATTTCCATTATAAACTTTTCAAAAATTTAAATATTGTAAATAAAAAAATTAACAAAAGACCAGCTTTTTATAATTAAAGAGGCTTTATGAGCTAAAAGTATACAGAGAACCAAAAATTTATATTATTTAAATTAGAAATACCAAAACTATAATTAAATTGAGATTTTCATAAATGAGAATAAAGAATAGAGGAAAAGAAAGAAATGAAAAAGAAATTCTTATTTGATTAGTAAAAGGAAAAATAGTATTAGTATTATCGTATCTTCATGTGTATAAATAAAAGAGGAAAAAATATCAAACAAAACTTTAAAACTAATTTATAAGTATACTTTTGAAAAATCATAAATCACGTTTTCTTTCTTTTAAATCTACTAATATTGTTGGGAGATAAAAATGAGGGAAAAAAATGTAATCCCCTCGTTATTTTCTTTCATTTTTTTTAATCAAAATTTTAAATAAACAAGATAAAAAATTTGAAGAAAAAAGAATCTCTATTTCTCCCTTTGAAATTCCTGAAACCAATACATCTCCAATTTTGAAGTATTCTTACATAACGATCACCAAGACTATCATTACACTGTACAGCAAAACTGCCCAATTCCTCTTTTTTGGTTTTGCTTCTCTTATTTAACAGCAAGAATTTTTCAATGGAAAAACGCACCAGGGGATATCCGTACATTGCTGCCGAAGCAACCAAGCCAATGCTACCCACAAATAGCTTTCGATGACCATAATCGTGAATGCCTAAAGCTGAGATTGCAACAATTATGCAGAACACAAGCAGAACTGGAATTGTAGTCATGGCTACCTTCACCTGCAATAACATTCATTCATGCATCTAAGCAACCCTGTCATGAATCCGAAAGCTTTAGTTGTGTTCTCAAATCAAATTTTTAGTTAATATTTCATGTAATTGCGCTTTAAGTATAACGAATTGAGGAACAAATTGTTAATTACTTAAGTTAGAATAACGAGCAGCATTAAATACGGGAGAGAGAACTGAATCCTCCAAGTGATTCTATCCAGTAAAAAGTATTTGTGTTTCAGGTTTAGACCCAAAAAGGTCACAGTGACTCAAAACAATTTTAAATTAAAGCATGGAGAGAAGAACTTAACCTTAAAAAGGAAGTAAAATACAGTAATGTATACAAGTTACCTTTCCTCTGGCTGAAGCATGCCAAGAATAAACGAGAATATAAGATAAGTGAAAAAGGATCCCAACTCCATTAACTATGATGAGAGGCAAATTTTCCCAGTTGTGGCTTACAACGGGCAATCCGTACCAAGTAAAAAGGAGACAGTTCAGGAGCCCAGTGATAGAAAGAAGGCAAAAAAATTCCTGTGTACTTTCCTTTCTTTTAAAGGCAACCCTGCAATTTAAAAGCACTTCAACGCTTGATTATGATTTGTAAAGGAAAGAAGAAGATGAAAGAATAATGGGTTATGCATAACATACAATGGGGCGGCATAAAGGGCGATTGTGGCACCAATGCCTGAAAGGAAAACATTGATGGATGAGTCATGTTTTTGTTGAAGACAGTAATGAATAATGCAAATGCAATCTAGAACGAACAAGTACCAAAAGCAGCAATTGCCAGGCGAAGGGTCTCTGACATCTTTTAGGTGTCTGCTCTCGCTGCTTAGAAGAGATGAAAATTGTGTACTAGTAAGCTCTATTTAATGCCACTTTATGTAACGGATCCTGGCCCTGTTATCGTACAAATAAAGAGATCCGCTTTGATGGAGAAAAATGAATGGTAAAGAGTTGTTAGATAAGAATATTACTGAGTTTCCATTCAAAACATTACGATGAAAAAGAGGAATAATAGAAGATGCGTCTTATCAAAGCAAAAAGGAAAATGGCCTAAAAATTGCTTTTTCTGAAGTCAGTGTGTCGCTTCAAGTGTTTTGGGAAGTTCTTGGGAAGCATCCAAATCCAAATCTATTGAATTAAGAAAAGAATGATACAACTTGTATTTAGCATAAAGAAAATGTGGTCACGTTGGAGGTTATAACGCCACGTTTTAAGTTTTAAAATTTACCTCCCTTAATAATATTTTATAAAATGTAAAATTAATCAATCTAATTGTTAATTTAAAATTTTCTATCAATTAAATTAATCATATAAATTTTATATAAAATAAAATTAATAAATATTTTATCACATTATTTTATTAAATAAATATTAAATTTTAAATAATATATTTATAAATATCTAAATCACGTAAAATTTATATACATCTAGTACCAATCTTATAAAATTTAATGTCTAAGATTTGGTTTGCATGATAATAAATATAATAATACATAATTTAATATTTAAATCAATGAATTCAGAATGTCTATAAAATGTTGTTAAATAAAGTAGGTTAACAAAACTTAATCTTAAAATAAGTAAATTCATATATATATATATATATATATATATAAGAGAGAGAGTTGAGATCAAATTACTTTAAGAGTGGCTTTGATAAGAAATTTTTTGCTTGATAATTCTTTATAAATTGAATTTTATCAATACAATTGTTGAATAAAGTTATGTTCATGTTCATAAATATATAATTTTATGATCAATATTTACTTGTATTTTAAATATATATTATAAATTAAAATAAAATTATTTGATGAATTGTAAATTTTAAATTTATATAATTTTTCTTAAACTAATAGGTTAAAGTAGAACTTTTAATTCAATAGTTTAATTAACAAAATTTAATATTTATAAAAACTTATTCAGCAAAGTAACTCTTGTCAGAATTACTCTTAGAGCAACTTGATGTATCTGTCTATCTTTGTACATATATAAGGATCAAGTTATAACTCTAATTAATCCATGCTTATTTCACTTAATAATTCTTTATAAATATTAATGTTAAATAATGTAATATTAACTTGTTGATCAAACATACTATGTTTTAAATAAATTATATTGTTATAAACATGTAATTTTAAATTTAATATTTACACGTAATTTTTTAAAATATATTATATGTTAAAATAAATTTATTTAATGAAGTGTCAATTAATTTTTTATTAATATAAATTTACCTGTTATAGTTAATTATCAAGTAACATAATCCCTTGTGTTTTTTGTGAATGGGATAAATTTACATTATTTATAATTATTAGGGTCTAATTCCTTAGTTTGATACATGGAGGAATAATTTGCAACACAATGAAGGTAACATGAATTATTTTTTTTAACAATTTTATTAATCTTAACTCTTAAAGGCAATTTTAGTATCTAAAATAGCAATTTATTATTTAAAAAATAATATTTAAAATTAAATATATTTTTAACCCCTCAAATTCTTAAATTTTAATTTTAATATCTTATTTTCTAAATACAAAGTTTTAGTCCCTCTTTTCATAGAACAATCTATGTTTTGCCTTTCTTGTAAACTAATATATGGAATTATTAGATTTAGATTGAATTGTCAAACTCCAAGGTTTAAACTGCATAGATAGATGAATTTATTTTTCATATTGTAAGCCTATGTTTATCTCACACATTAAGGTTTCATATACACTTGAATATAATACATAACCATATATGTTCATTTTATGTATGGATAATTTCTTATCAATTCTTTCACTTCCATAAATGCAGACCTTTTCTAAGTAATGGTGGAGAGATCAGAGTGAAGTTGTTTAAGATGTAGTTAAGAAATTCGTTAGTTTGGTCAACTAGAGTTCATGTAAATTACATTTTTTATTAAAATATTTGCTCCTTTCTTTCCTTAATATTTCTCTAATTTCATGGAGTTTCCCAATTAAAAAGAATCACATTGTCTATCCTTGATATATAGCATTGAAGTTCTAGGTTCTAGACTAAGTTCATTAGTTAATTGTATAATAAGACATGCCTTATCTTTCTTCGCATGATCATTTTGTGATATATGATCATCAATGCGTTGTACTTGTTTTATTTTACAAATTTTAGCTTCATACTTCATCTTATCTATTTTTTTAGAACTCTATTCTTACAAAATTAAATATCCTTTGATATAGGTGTTGGAGGTTGGAGCTTATTCATGATCAAAGTTTCGAATCGTGGTCTTCTTGATGCCTGCACAATGAACAACTGCAGTGCAATATTAAATAGTCATAGAAATGAGAGGTTGGTTGGCCTATGAAGAGCTGCTGCATCATCATAGGCTTAAGACCTGAATTTTAAACTGGTTAAGAAACAAAACTGATTCTAAATTGGTTCTATTAAACCAGTTAATAAAAAACCTGAATCAAACCATTTCATAAACTTTTAAAAATATAAAGACACTGTTAATACAAAATTTCAAGTTAAGAAAACTTAAAAATATAGGATTAGAAGAGTTTTAGAGAATTTATAAAGTCTCTTCCTTTTATTTAAAAACTTCAAATATAACTAAATATCACAACTCTTCTCATTTCTTTCCTCCAAAGATAAGCTCTCAAACAAAACCTCAAGGAGGTGAGTAAAATATTAAACATTTATTTGGAAAATTATTTTTTGACAATATTAATTGTTTTTATGAGATAAGGAAATAGGAAGAGATTAAAAAATATACACAAATTAGAATTTAAAAGCGATATTTTACTTAGTTTTAATTCTTGAATGTTTTGCTTTATATAATTTAGTTTTTATCAGTTTTTTTCTTAAATTAGTTGATCCTCACAAGCATTGATATATATATATATATATATATATATATATGCATATATAATTTAGTTTTGTAATATGTTAATTTTACCTGCTTTTCAATCATAATATTAATTTTAGGGATTAAATTTCATATTTACTCAAAAAAATAAAAATTCAGTTGAGGAAGAAGAAATAAAATTTCTCCAACAAAAAAAAAAACAATTAAAGTGAGTTTTAGCATAAATCACTTTAAAACTGGTGTAAATAAATAAGTTATAAATAGATAAAAATTTGTTCATATAAATAAAAAATTATCGGTAATTGGAAAAAATTATTATGTGTATATATATATATATATATATATATTAATGTTAAGAGAAAAAATATTCGATTTATAAATTAATAAAGTTTAAAAATTAATTATACTACACTTAACGTTCAGGATTTCTAATTACATGAAGATAAAGTTTAAATATCGATTTAAAAGAAATTAATGAAAATTTATAAAGGTTCTTTACGAAAAAAAAAATTTAAAGATTAAATATTCTTTTGTGAAGAGAAAAAGTTAAATGTGAAACGAGAGCAGGTAGCATTAGGAGCCACACACTCAGAGTGCTTTTGTACACGTACTCTCATCACTTGTTCAAAGATAAATAAGAGTGCTTTTATAAATTTTTATTAAATTACGTTATTTTTTTTTATCAAACATTTATTTATAAAATGAAATCATAATTTAATTTTTAATTTAAAATTTTTCTCTTTAATTTAATTTATTAAAATAAACATTATTATATAGTTTGTGTTGTACCGGCCAAGAGACACATAGTTGATTTTCAGTTAAAATAAAAGTCACAGAAATACTAACTAACAGCTTATATTAATTTTTTAAACTCCGTTATGTTGGACCAACTGAAAACTAAACAGAACCTTATTCTTTTAGGTGCGCTCTTTACCATTAAGCATGTTCTTGCTAGGAACTTTCGCAATGGTTTACAATAATTCATTCCACGTAGGGATTTAAACATAAGACGTTGAATTTACTCCATGAAAGTTGTTAATATTCAATTTTTTCTATGGTCATACTTTTATTTAATAAAATTTAAATTTAAAATAATTAATCTAACAAATTTATATACAAGTTCATTTTTACTATAAACTTCAGTCGTCTAGATAAAATTAATTTTAAAATTAATATAAAATGAGAGATAATATTTTATAAATATGATCTATTCAAATATACTAAATAATTTTAAATGATGTAAAAATAAAAAATAAATACAATTAAAATAGATAATATTTTTTTAGGATAAAATAAAATACACTTAAAAATGATAGAAATATTTTTTGATAAAAAGTTAAAAAAGAAAAATAAAATTTATCTAATAATTTCATAATAAAAAATTAAATATCGTAAATAAATAAATAATACATTTGAATGATGTATAAAAATTAGTTTTATAAAGAGTAATCTTTATTACGATGAAGTTTGTTTTCTTTGTGCAAAATCAAGACATTTTAATTACTCCTAAATTACTAGAGCTACTAAACTCATGGGAATAAGTGCTCTCATGAATCCTCCTCCTATTCCTATGTCCTTCTTTCATATGGGTGTTAAGGCTCCATAGCCTTCATGTATATTAGAGGATTTCACTGTAAAAGGACTTGCTCAAATTGAGTTGGAAGGCGGAAGTTAACTTTATCCCAACGTCCTAATAACCAATTTAGTGATAGCCAAACTTTGTGTTAGACGAGGGCTTTAGTTATCAAGCTTTTGAGAAAATACATGGGCACAATAAAAAATTAAAGCAACATGGAAACTAATAGTTTTAATATTGTGGTTATCAATAATGAATTCTATATGTAGATGTTAGATTATCTTTGACCATTATTTGGAGATACTAATTGGAGCCAAAGTTTTTATTTTTATAGAAGTAAAGGTGTAGAAAGTTCTTGTTTGCATTAGAATTTTTGGACTAAATTTTATTTATTATGATG